TTATATTAAATTGTGTAGTAATCTCAAATTTATTCTTTCATAATATGTCTTATTTTTATGATAGATAAATAAATCGTGTATAATGAAAGATGAAATTTTTCTAATGCATAAATTGTGATTGATTTTTATGATAAATATTGAGAATAATTCATTTCTTACAAGCAAATTTTCGGAGAAGCTCGTTTTATTTGTTACATTAATTTGTTTAAATGGACTGATTTTTATTTTCTATTTTTTATTCTTACAATTGATAAATAAATATATATAATATAATGAAAAAATTCAAGAGAGTAGTGAAAAAAATAAAAATAAAAGAAAGAAGATGAAATTTTGTCAAAGCAAATCCGTCCCTGCGGAGGATGCTAATCATCTTGGCGAAGGGTGTCTGAAATTGTCGCCCCATGGAGAGCAACTATGGAGCACGGCTACGGTTCTCACCCTAACGGCTCGCTTAACCAAACAACCCTGATAAATTATGCAAAAATCAACAACACTACGAAATGCACCTCTCTAACGCTTTTCCTCTAGATTGAAGCTCCACTACGATTTACCCCCCGTTCGTCTCACTTCACTTTACCACACCTCACCTCACTTTACCTCACCTTACCTCACTTCACTTAAGTTCACCAATTCCCCATAATCTTCGAATTTCTCTCGTATTTTTAATTACTCTCTTTTATATAATCTATGATTATTATTGTAATGAATATAACATTCGAATAGATTTTCTCTCTGTCAACGTAATCATAAATTTGGTCCCTAATCGAAAATAATTAGCAAATTTTATTCCGTCGACCATGGAATATTTCGTTAAAAGAATATATCGTCGAATAACGTCGAAATCATTTTCTATAATTATTTCTGCAATATTATTTCCTACATTTTTTGCCGGAATCAACAAATTGTCTATTAAAATATATATATAGAGAGAGAGAGAAGAGATAAATTTTGAAATAATACCGATGGACTAATAATATACATTTTTGTCCATATAATTATATTACACTTTTAAATTATGTTCAAAGAAATAATACGACAGAAATTAGTTACACGCTACGGCCTAATATCTACGTATAGACCAAAAATTGATATTAATTCCTCTTTTTTACGCGAATGAAACGATAGTAATATCTTTATTCGTATGTATTTTTTCGAAATATCCAACAAATGAAAGAATTTCAATATCCCTTCCTCCTCTCCTATCCAACCAAAATTCTCAAATATACCAAACAAAAAATAGTTTCATTTAGCGATATTACTCACGTTCAAAAAAATACAAAAACAAAAAAGAAAAAGAAAAAAGAAGAAAATAAACAAATAAATAAACACAGGAACCCCGTGTCGATATTAAAAAAAAGAGAGAGAAAGAGAATGAGTGAGAAGGAGATGGATGGAAAATCCCAGTTTGTTTTGTTTCAATCGTAGATTTAACAATTCGATCGAAGGAAAGAAACGCATACCCACTCGTTTGTACAAACAAGTTGATTGTAACAATTTGACGATACCATACGCACAAACACATATTTACACGTGTGTCATGTAATATGTACATTCATTTATAGCGATTGAGGCGTGACAGTGGGATCAAATTGTGGCGGAGAAGGATCGTTTTATTTTGATATAAATCAAGCGAGTTAAAGTGAGAGTTCGTGTCATTCGCGTTCGCGCGTTAACCTGTGTCGACGAAAAGCGATCTCGATAACCGTAGAACATACATATTTGTGTGTGTGTTTGTGAGTATGTGTGCATGTATGTATATTTGAATGAGTGAGTGAGTGCGTTCGCGAACCGTGAAATCCGCAGGCCAATAAACGAATACAAGCGGGCGTACGCGTGAGAATAAAATCCGTCGCTAAACTTCGTGCAACAGGTGTTGGACGGCTATTGACAATCTTTTCATCAGTATGACGCCGTGTTTGCGCGATATTTCGTTGAATTCTCGGTTGCTTTGAAAGCGAGACCGAGAAAAAGGGAGAGGGAGAGAAATAGATAAAAAAAGAAAGAGAGAGAGAGAGAGAGAGAGAGAGAGAGAGAGAGAGGGAGAGTGAAGCTTTTAACGAATTGTATTTGTTACTTTTTTTTTATTCTGATTTTTGATCATTGATTAATATTGAGTAAACATCTTTTTTGTTGTTTCTATTTTTCTTATACACGTATATATGTGTATGCGTGTATTTATTTACAGAGTGGATTATAAATCAGTGACTAATATAATTGTTAATTATAATTGAAGTTTATTGTTGTTGTTATTGATCAGTGGATATTAAAAAGACTGTATATATATATGTGGATTATAACATAAAAATTAATTTTAAAAAATATCTCTTTGATGCAAGCTTATAGAATAACATAGTTTTAATTAAGTTTAAAATTATTGTTGTTTCTAGACATTAATAACTACTAAAAAATTCGTAAATAATTGACTAAAAAATTAAAAATAGAATAAAATAAAATAAATAATATTGTGAGTGAACATTCGTATATTATAGACAAATATACAATAATACATTATTTCAAATTGAATTCAGTTTACATGCAATTGTTTAATGAGTCATGCTACTTTAAGTAAAGATTTTCTCTCTCTTTCTCTCTCTTTTTTGGAAAATAGGGCAGTGTGTTGATATCTTCGATCGAGATATTTCGAACATGTCTGTCTCACTTCTCTTTCCCTATTTCTGTCTCTCTTTCTCTTTCACTCCATTAGAAATCGTTATCAATGTGAACGCGTTAGTCGTATTCGTTCGACATTGTCCTGGCCAGTCGACCGAAGAGAAATAACGAAGAACAACAACAACAACAACAACAACAAACTAGTCGATTGAAAGTCCTTACGAGCGACCTGCTTTCTCCGCATTGTGTCCAATACTTCACCCTCTGTTATCATTCCGAATATAGCTCTGACAGTTTCGATCTTGCCTATCACATTTTCCATACACTCTCTCTTTCCTCCATTCTCTTTCTTTCTCTCTCTCTCTCTCTCTCTCTCTCTCTCTCTCTCTCTCTCTCTCTCTTTATCGTTCATTACATTAATTTATAAGAATTTTTATTATACAAAATGTCCAAGGTTTTCCTCAGTAAAACGGTGTCAGTGTATTTTATGCATGAAAATAAGGACAAATAAAATATGTTCTCTAAATCATTTAAAATTGTATTCAAAAGTTATGCGATTTTAATTATAAAATGTTTATATTTATTTAGAATGTGATATATATCGTCTTTAAATTTCTAATCGATTATGTTCACTTTTATTTATACTTATTTATGACGTTTATTATTCCAAATCGAATTAAGTAACGAATTCCGATTGATATCAATTTTTTTGAAATTCCCTTGTAAAATATTAACGATCGAAATACCGAAAGTATTTTCAAATTAAGAATACAAGGAAATTTATTACGTATAATGGTTTATGCGATGGAAATATACTTGGATTACTGTAAAATAATATCAACGTAGATTTTCTGCCAAAAGAGTCCAAGTATTAGTCAGTTTTTTTGTGAAAGTTTATTCACAATTACGTGAAACAGGTTCGTTTTGTCTTGCATTCGCGTAAGTGATCGATACATTGAAGAAAAAATATGAAGTGATTTAAAAATTTTGTGTCATAAATTTGTATAATGGAGCTTTTAATTATCTACATTTTTATAACAATTTCGTTCTTATTTTTGTAGAAAGAATATACTGACACTGTTTAGTTGGAAAAACTTCAGACATTCTGTGTTTGGTAAATATTTTATATTTTGTATAAAATTAAGAGAAAAATATATATTATATAATTCAAAAAATAATAAGAATAATTTTGATAATATAATAAGAATTATTATAATATATAAAATTCCATGGGATTTTTTTTATCGGTTTCAGTTGTTAGCTTTGATGTTACTAGTAATCGTTGCTTATCGTCAAAGCCAACGATTAAAAAAAGAATCATGACACTAATACTCCCATATGAGAGAATCGAATTAGCACAAGGTATTTCGTGCCTAAGGGGTGGACGTATCTGCCGTAGCAGAGTATAGACATCCATGTAGTTATTGTTATCGATTCGACCTACTCGTAAGACCAGACTAAAGCTGACCTATTCCGACGTCTCTCGTACGTTTCCTACGTCCTAACATTTCTTCTCTTCTTCCTAATCATCCTTTTCTAAAGATAAATGTTCGTTTTATTAGATACGTACGTTATCTTTTAATTAGAAATAGAATTCTTCGAATTTCTAATACAAGAATTTCACATTTTCTATTATTAGAGAATATTCCTTTTTTTGTTGGATTTCGATAGGTTATCGATGTATATATGGGGTTGATTTTTAAAAGTTACAATAATAATTAATAAGTTTTTATATATAGAAGATAATTTTAATTATATTTTATAGAATTGTAAACATTTCACATAAATTATTCGTATAACATTATATATTTCTTATTTGACATATATTTTGTATATTATTATTATTATTTTATTATATGATTTAAAAACTATACAAATTTTACAGATATCTCTCATGAATAATAAAATATGCACGATAATAAATAAATAACCAATAAAATAATAAACTCATACAAAAAAAAAAACAAAAAAACCCCCTCCATACTACAGTACAATAATATTACTCCAAATAAACGATAAAGAATAAGTATTACGAAAGTAAGAAAAATTGATATGAACTAAATAGATTTAAAATTCCTTGTTAAAAATAAATAAAGTCAAAAACAAAATATATATATATATATATAAAATAAACAAAAGCTTGTATGTGTGTGAATATAAAAAAGGAAAAAAAAATAAGAATAAGGGAGAAGAGAAGAATGGGAGAAAGAATAATAAAATGATAAGAAAGAGAAGAAGGAAGATAGGTAGGAGTGACAAAGAGAGACAGAGAGAGAGAGAGGTAGAGGGAGAGAGAATGTTGTCGCGAGGGTGCAAAGAAGATAAACGAAGTGGTCGGTTAGTGGGGATAGTGTATAAAGAGAGTGAGTGAGATGGGGATAGAGCGGGAACGGATTGCACAGTGCGCCGACTCAGTAGCCGCGTGTTCGCGAGAACCGGAGGGTTTCGCGGCTAAGCTGCCGCCGAGCGTCGCACAGTCGCGACGGCACCCACCGGCGCGCGGTACCCCCTTATTCTTCATCGGCACGCATATATATTATATAAAGAAACAAAGAGAAACAGAAATTACGAAATAGAATACGAAAGAGAGAGAGAGAGAGAGAGAAGGAGATAGAGAGAGATAGATAGAGAGATAGAGAGATAGAGAGAGAGATAGAGAGATAGAGAGAGAGAGAGAGGGAGAGATAAA